GCTTGCTTGACTGCCGGCTTGCTTGACTTCTGTTTTTCCAAATTTACCAGTGAAAGAGCGGAACTCGGAGGTAATATCATGCGACATTGCAAAGGTTACTAATGATTCAATTCGTTTTCGCGCACGCATACCAGAACACTGGTTTTCACTATTCGGCCCATGATCATGTGGATAAAGTGAGGAATGACGGGGCCAAATTTTTAATCATGGCTGATAGCATGGCAGAGTCATATTCGTGCTTCATCTGACTTCGGTTTTCTTCCCTGCGTCCACTGCAGCCCACGCTGTGGCGAAAAAATGACCCGTTCATTTCACACATGGTTGAAAAGGAAGCCAGTTTGATTCCAGCGCCGCAGTTCTTGGGAGCTTTCCTTGAAGCATCACATCATTGGCGAGAGCAGGGTACACTGCAGTGGTTGCATCGCGTTTCAATGCATCCGTTTGTCCCAGCTAACTTGCCCACGCCATCTGTCTCATGAATCTCATGGTGTGCTGAGCCTAGAGTCGGATTCTGCAGCCATCGGCGCCGAATGGACCCCGGAGCCCGGCTTGTGAGCCAAGTGTCAGGTTTTAGCAGCAGCTGCTGTATTTCACATCGGATACCTACCAGCAGTCAGCAGAACCCTTCAGTCATGTGCTCATGTATGCAGGTCTCGCTCGCCTTCCACTCGTGCAGCCATACTCGTACTCAGCCGCTACCCGCCGCACACAGGCTCTACCCGCGCGCTTACTCCCCCGCCTCAAATACTTCAACCTATGCTCGCTTCCCCACCGCTTGTCACATGGCAAGTCCTCTACAACCTACAGCTTATCCGCCTATTATGAGAGCGGCTCTGGTATCCATATATACAACCCATCAATCTCCGCACGTCGTTGTCAAACTACGATGTTGGGCTATACAATCCTCTAAAGTCTAGGCGATGCCTAGTAGACGTAAGCAACATGCAGGTGAAACAAGCCCCAGCATATCTTGGTCTTGCAGTCATCTATGCAGTGTGTGAAAGCCAGGTGGACAACACTGGTCTTCACAAATATTGAAAAAGGGAATTTGGTTGGATGCCGACTTGTCGATGTGAGAACCTTACTCACCCAAGTGGGTTGATAAAAATTGACATAATTTGCCCTCCAGCTTCAAAACATCCTGTTTGTGCATCGTGTCTACATTTGCAGGTTGCATTGGGCCTTAGGTAGTCAAAAATAAACTGAGTAATTAATCAGAAGCAGTTTAAACCCAATGATGTGACCTTGGTGAGCATGTTTTCACTCTTGTCTAGGCAGAGGAGGAGTGTTTGAAATAAGCTCAGAGCCCGACGTGACATGATGCGGGTCACAAATGCCTCTACCATACTGTCGGAGGTCAGCTGATGATGACGTCAAATACTGCCCCCTTGGCCAGGCTAACGTACAGGTTACATACGAACAGTGCATGCAAAACGCATAGTAGCGTAAAACTCAAATCGGACTGTATATTTTCCTTTGCTTCGAAAATGGAATTATTCCTTGCGTGCTATTTGGGGACTTGCGTTCACTCTTCATGTTCTGTTCATTTTGGAATATCTCACAGCTGATAGCTAAAGCAATTATGTTACTAGTGAATGGGGATGTTAAAAAAATTTTTGTAGGGTAAACGACATTCAACACACCAGGAGGTGCTGGCTAGCCGATGTTGTGTTGTTAAATAACGATTACATTGGCAGAGCCTTGATGCCGAAAAACTAGGAGCTAAAGGCCTTTCTGTCTTGTATTTATGATGCTTAGACGTGTCCTTCCTACCGCTGCGTGTCATGAAAACCATGTGATCATTATGCAAATGCAATTACTTGAATGAGGACGTAATGGTATCGAAATCAGTAAGATAACATACCGCTGGGCCTTTTCATAGATAGCTTTAAGGCTTGCATGATACTTTTGAACGTGAACCGACCATTCCATTTCAACAAGAGTGTGGTTTTGTTTGCGTGCGACTGTCCAATTTTCATTCCGTCCTTAACACGCGGTGGGATGGGGGTCAAACCGGCCCCCGAAGGTTCTTCTCGAATGATCTCCGAAAGGTGTGGCGTAGCCACACCAAAGTTTTCGTGGCTGTAGACAATAAAATACCAAATCGTTTGACATAAAAAAGATGTACCTTGTGAGGTCATTAATTTATGGCAGGTCAAAGTCAGACCATGGTTTCGGCGAAGGCGATTTCTATGGAATAGTTCAGTCTGATCCAGCAATGGAGTGTTTGGCGTACCCATACATCTCTGAGATACTTTCTGAGGCAATGCAACAATAAAATGAGTAAATTACATTCACCTAAGGTCAGGTATGAATGTTAGGCCAGGATCAAAACCAACCTGTTTTATTACTATAGGGCTTACTGTATGGGGTAGTTTCTAGTGCTCATTTCGGCTCTGTTAATGACAGGAACCGCATCATACACATTCCTTAGGCTTCTTGAAGGTCAGAATAGGTCACCAATATAAAATGACCCAGGTCAGCATTTTGTTTTTTAGGACACACTGCCTATCTTTGTCGCTTATCCAAATGTAAGACTCAAAGAGGTGTTGTATGATTTTGGTCAATATGGCCTTCAAAAAATTAAACAAAGTCACTGACCTTAGATGAGAATGTGACGTTTTGCTTAAAACAGCTATCTAGGTTCCAGGGGCCCTTTGAAGATCAACCTGGAATTTGACCATGTTTGACACTATTTTACCCGAAAATAATAACCTAGGAACTACAACACTCATGTAAGTGAGTTTACGTACAGATCAACACATTCTGTGAATTTGATGCCTCTAGCTCTCCTAGTTTCTGAGATCTCAGCGGATCAAACTGACGACCCCCCCCCCCCCCCCTCCACCCGAGCTAAGCGTATCCAACCGGTCACCCGGGCGCTCGTTAATACGCGCTCGGCTGGTGGATCAAATTGATCCCCCGAAGGTTTTTCCAAAATGGTTTTCGTACGACGCGGCGCGGGCGCGCCAAATTTTGCATAACTGTAGAAAATTAAATGGTGGATTGCTTGGTATCCAAAATTTAGCTGTACCTTGTAGGATCGCTAACCTATGGCAGGTCAAAATCAGGTCATGGTTTCAGCGAAGTCAATGTCTGGAGAATCGTTCAATCTGATGCAACAACGGAGTGTTAGACGAAGCCATTCATCTCCGATATACGCTGTAGCCAACACAATTCAACGAACAAATTCCATTGACCTAGGGTCAGGTTTGAATGTCAGACCAAGGTAAAACCAACCTGTTTTATCATTATATGACTTGCTGTTTGCGGTAGTTTCTGTTGCTCATCTCGACTTGATTGATAACGAACCGCGTAATGCATCTTGCACATACTTCTTAAATGTCAGATAAGGTCGCTCACCTAAAATAACCCCGGTCATCACTTTGTTTCTTGCAACATACTGCATTGTATTCAAATGCAAAACTCAGAGCAGTCTTGTATTATTTTGGTCACCATGACCTCCAACAGGTCAAACGAGGCCACGGACCCCAAACTAGTATGTGGCCGTTTGTTCAGGACAGTTATTTAGGCCCTGGTAGCACTTGGAAACCAATGCAGAATTTGATCTTGTTTGATCTTGTTTGGCTTGAAGGTCATGACCCGCGAACCTCAAGAACCCCAGAGGGCTCTGCCGCTCAAAGACGGACCGACTGAGCGGGTCCAGAGGCACACAGATTGGCTCGGCAGGTAGCTGTCGATTGTGCCGATTACACTTCGCAAGCTTTACTCGCAGCGTTAGGCTAACCTTTCGGGGCTATTGCGCAATTTAATGCCCTCTGCTGGTGTATTGATTATCGATGCTCGGAATGTCTTTTTAAGTGCAAACGCGCCGCCTGCTAAGACACCGTCGCACCTGCTCTGCGTACGCACTGCGCTGGCAGTCCGCATTAGCGGTCCAGTATCGTATCTGCGCGCCTATCGTTATTCGTCTTCTCAGACGCCGCGTATTGGAAGTCAAAACATGGTCTGTTCTAAGGAGGCCGGTTCTTAGCATATCGGTTCCTGTATTGTATAACGCATCTCCACGCCGCGTTTAATGAAGACGACACCACGTGAGCGTCGAGGTGATGTTGATCGTGTCTCGCGTTCCGTCGCCCGGTGGCGCACGTCTGCTCTAGGCTATGCGCTCAAGAGGCTTCCCTGCATCGATTTTCTTCATCTCAGTATAATGCATGTTGCTATATTTTATCCAAATGTGTTTCGTTAGAGCATCTGGTGCAAAACCGGGTCAGACGTGCCAAACGAAGAAGTGTATACGGAAAAGATGTTTGATATTTCCTCAATGGCTTGCATGTATAAGTTAAGATTACGCGTCGATGAATGCCGCTTCATAAGTGCTATCCAGCATTGTTCGTTTTATCGGCATGGATTAGGTTTATCACAAGTGTTAACACCATTGACATTATCTGGCATATTCGTTGCAATCATAGTGATGGCCTGCCGTCAGCGTGTCTTTTAGTTTACCACAGTTCATTAATTGCATCGCTATTGGGTGGGTGCCACCTAATCACAGACATAGTACGAATAATGCAAGCGAGCCACACACTACCTAGGCAGACGTGAAAAAGACAAACTGCACCCTTACGTACCAATGAGTCAATGACACATACTGTGCCTGTGCGGGATGCTTAACGTCCGTCAAGAAACACGCCGACATGGTACAATTATGCGGGGGCACATTTAGCACGGGCTCGGGTGAAGGGTGAATCTGAACCCCTCCCCCCAAGATTTTCCAGAATGATTTCCGAACGGTGCAGCCGAGCTAAATTTTGTACAGCTGTAGAAAATTAAATGACGGATTATTTGCTTTAAAACTTCAGATGCACCTTGTAAGTGCGCTAGCCTACGACAAGCCAAAGTTAGTCCAGGAATTCGGCGAGGGCAACTTGTAGGGAATCGTTTTGATGCGACAACGAAGTTTTGGACGCAGTCGTGCATCTCTGACATGACTTCTCGGGGAACAAAAACATCAAGTTCACAAATTTCCTTGGCCCAGTATGAGGTACGAAAGTCAATCAAAGGTCAAAACCAACCTGTTTTTACCTGAGAGCTTGCGTAGGAGCAGATTGTGGTGCTGATCTGAAATTTATTGATAACGAGGATTCATTGATAGCATCATGCATCTGCATGGGACTTTTCCAAAGTCTAGTTAGGCCATTGACCCATCTCAATCTGTTGTTGTTAAACTCCAAGTTGGTCGCCGGGGCCCCAGAACTTAGGTACCTCTTCTAGGCAAAAGGTCTCATGCTCATTTAAGGTCAGTGGCCTTGTTTGACTTTTTGAAGGTCATGGTGACTACATTCATACAAGGCTGGAATGAGTTTTGCATTTCAATAGGCGAAAAGACTACGCTAGGCAGTATGATTCTCAAAATAAAATGTTGGCCTGGGTCATTTTAGGCCAATGATCTATTTCAACCTCTAAGAAGTCCATGGGGAATGTATAATGCGGTTTCTGCTATCAATGAATTCCAACTGAGCACCAAAATCTATCCTATACAGCAAGCCCTAGAGTAATAAAACAGGTTGCGTTTGGCCTTAGTCTGACCTTCATACCTAGCCTTAGGTCAAAGTAAGTCGCTCATTAAATATTTGTGTTGCCTTAGAAAGCACCTCAGAGATGCATGGCTTCGTCTAACACTCCGTTGTTGGATCAGATTGAGCGATTCCCTAGAAATTGATTTTGCTGAAACCATGGCCTGACTTGACCTGCCATAGGTCATTGACCTTACAAGGTGCCTCTAATTTTTTCATACCAAATGATCTGCTATTCAATTGTCTGCAGCTATGCAAAATTTGGCACGGCTACGCAGCGCCGTTCAGAAACCATTCTGGAAAAACTTTCCGGGGGATCAATTTGATCCCCACCCGAGCGCGTGTCAAGAAACGTACTGCCTAGCGTAATCCTTGATGCTTATCCAAGTGCAAAATCAAAAAGGTCTTCCAGGATTTTGGTCACCATGACCTTTTTAACATAAAAAGGCTACTGATCTTAAATGTGCACCAGTTATCATTTACTTCAAACATTATCTAGGTTCCCGGTGGCTGCATGGGAATGTCTGGAGGCACTTTGGACACCAATCTGGGGTTTTACCTCTTTTATTCTTATTTGACCCAGAGGTCATAGCGTAGGAATCTAAAATCTTGATAGAAGTAAGTTCGCGTACAGGCCAACATACTCTGTGAATTTGGTGTTCCTAGCTTCCTCACTTTTGGCGATCTTAGGAGGTCAAGTTGACCCCCAATCCGAGCGGACGGTGTCTAACCGCCTTAATCAACACGCCCGCGCGCGGGCTGATTAAGGCTCCTGGCAGCGTAGCAAACAGCCGGCCTCGGGCAGAGCTGGCCCAACAGAACGGCACATAAGCCAGCGACAGCTGGTGGACGTTTTTTGGATGGCTGGCGCCATTCGATGACGTTTCGATGGAGTTTATTAAGCATCTTTATTACCCGTCGACCATTGCATGTTTAGGAACATGCCAAACGGGCATGGGCTTATTCAGCGACACAAGCAGTTTGCTGCATGTGCTTCATGAGCTCCATGAATCACTCCAGCCGGTAGAAATGAGCAGTGCGTGCTATATTCCCGTCACGTTGCGTGCTTCCGTGGCGTGGCAGGTGAACGGCCTCCCAGTCGTTAATTATTCGAACTGGCCCCACTGGTGCCCTGTGAACGGTTTGTGCTCGACCACACAGTAAGCTGCCTTGGAAACGGGGTCAGTAGTTCGCGCTAAACCGCACGGCAAACGTAGCGCGTACGCGCTTCCGCCCACAGCAGCCGACAGTGGATCAGCACCTCCGCCCACAGCAGCCAACAGTGGGTCAGCACCTCCACCCACAGCAACCAACAGTGGATCAGCACCTCTGTCCACAGCAGCCGACCGTGGATCAGCACCTCCATTCACAGCAGCCAACAGCGGGTCAGTACCCTCCGTCCATAGCACAGCTGCTGGGCTATGTCTCCCGGTCTGAGGTCAAATCATCGGCGCCTGGTCGCAGCGCTGGTCGCCTGCCTGCTATTGACCAGCGGCGTCTCAGGCCGCCGCTGGCTGGCCCGCCAGCCGGCCGCCGGCTCCGAGCTGGCCACGCTGTCGGCTGGCTCAGCCGTGCAGTGCGGCCTGCTCTGCCTCCACAAGTCGTGCTGCAACGCTGTCTCTTACGGCTCTTCCGGCGACGCGCGGCGCTGCACCCTCCTCAACGACCCCACCTGTGAGAGCGGCTGGAAGCCGTTCTGCGGCAGCTGCTACAAGTACTTCAGCACGGCGGCGCCCTGGGATACCGCTGAGTTGAAGTGCGGCCTAGCAGTCCCACACGGCCACCTCGTGTCCATCAACAGCGCTGGAGAGAACGAGTTTGTGGCGGGCATGACGCGTCCCCACACCGCCTTCAGCCTCACGGGCTTCGAGCACCGGCCTGAGTACGGCGACGGCCAGTTCCGCTGGTCGGATGGCTCGCCCACCTCGTACCTGGCCTGGTACGATGCACAGCCCAACGAGGCAACCAATCGACGGGCGTTGGGTAACATAAATTCGAAGACAAAGCGGTGGAGTGATGCCATCATAACTGATGCCTACCAGCTTCCCCACGTGTGCGAATACTAATGCGCAATTTATAAGGCGAAAAGTTCCGCCTTACATATGTTCTTTTCATGTAGCGTAGGCAACGTAAACCATCTTTAAGTTTTGGCGAATCTTCCCATATTAATAGGACGGGTTAACATTAACGTGAACTGGGCGTATGAAACTTGGTATGGATTAAGATAGTCGTTATCTAACTCATTAGCTTTGCCAACTTAAGTTATGCATGTCTCGAAAATACAATCTTTAATCGGCGTAAGTCAAATTTTGGCTTAAAGAAATTTCCACCTGGCCACCACCTGGTTTGTTAACAGTTCGGAAGTTCGTTTTGCAATAGATGGATGTTTCCATGAAGCATATCATTTTATTCCCATTTTTCCTCGAGAATGATGCACTGTTCGGCATGCAACATTGGCATATGACGCATCTTTGGCTCGCTCATTTAGATTCTGACCTCTGGGAAATCATCTTTGCCCAATCACAAAGCAAGCTCAAGACGAGCACATAAGCAAAATGCATGTAACTTGTCAACTGAGTACCATGCAGATATCAAGTAATCACTATGAGCCATGTATCGGCATGCACACCGATTGTTACTTCACATGGTGCCGGGCAGGTCCCACCGTCTGACCCAGCTCGCACCAATTGCCCTCACATGGTGCCGGGCAGGTCCCACCGTCTGAACCAGTTCGCACCAATTAACCCCGACATTTGCGCGTCATTTTCTTGCTCTGTTCTGACAGCACACGCCAGAACACGGCTGAGCCGGAGCGCTAGTGCAGGAAAGTGGCTTATTCATGTGCATACATCCGCCTGCATAATGGAATATAACAAGTAGCCCAATGACGCTTTATGAAACACGCGTTGCCGAGTATTTGAAAAAGGTGGGAGTGAGACTTTAATGAAGTGCTGGTTTTAGATCTGGTGTATCAAAGTCATGGCATCGAACAAGTGCAGTTTTTACGTAGGTGCATCCCAGGAAGGGCCATTCGGACCCGGGTTCCCTTCGAACCTGGGAATTGCATTTCTCATTTGCTGCCAGGTCGGCCATCTCCGTCGAATCATGCATATCAGTGGTAGTCATGACGCTTAAGTCAACCCCACAAACCGTTCTGGAGCACCTATTGGTAACCGTGACGTTTTAGCCGAGCCCATCAGCCGCTAAGTGATAACCGTAATGCTTCAGTCGACCGGACGGACCATGTTATGATGATCGTGACGCTTGAGCTGAATCTGCAGGACGGTAAGTGAAAACGGTGGCACATAGGTCGGTCCCACAAGCCGTCAAGTGCACCTAAAGACGCTTAAGTCGGTCACACAAGCATTTAGACTGTAACCGCGACGTTAAAATAGACACCACAAGCATTTGAGAAACGGATGACGGCAACGTAGATTTCACGATGAGTTAAAAGGGATGTTCCATATATGAAGATATTGAAAGGAGCATCAAATATGATGAAATAAGCTAACTTATAGGTATTGGCATCCTCCTAGATGGGAAAACACTATTCTAGACGACACAATTTCTCTCTTCGTGAATATGCTCTTCAATGCGTCATTGCTTAATTACGTCACCGTACCTTGCATAACACTGATTGAGAGCCCACTGTTGGCCGTTATATCTGGAAATCGTGCTCACAAATGCCAGATATGAACGACTCAGCATCTTAATTTTGCTTGGCCTCGATCGCCGCATGGCTAATGGAAGAACGGAATTTAAATGACGTTACTATGGCGTCATGGATGCCTGGGTGACTTTGACGTAGCCTTCCCAAGAAATAGTCTGTACATCTTCGCGGGCGTATAGTTCAGAAACGAGAGGGGTTTAGGTTTTAAGAACGGCAGAGTTGCGAACTGTGCCGAATGATCTTCAAGCCTCCTGTTTCAGTTCAAAACCCCTTACCAATGTGGAGCGCTTCCTTTGTGACATGACAGCACCTAGTGCTCTTGCTCTTCTTGGTGTCCTCTGACAATAACTGCTCCTGCACATCTATGTTCACTCGAATTCTACCTGCCTTGTGGTGGTCCCATGTTTGACGGTTAAGTAACTATAGTTCAGCATTCTGCTCTTGTTGGTTGCTTTTCGGGTAATAGTTGCCGTTAACTCCGAGGCTCCGAGGCTTTTTGGTCCTGTGCTAAAACATGTGACAATGGGCTGACAAAGTTTTCACATAGTTCATGGATATTCACCAGGCCGCAATAGAGCGATGATAATTTCCGCAGCACTCGTGTTTTCACTATTTGTTCGTGCGCTACCATAAACTCTTCTACTTTAGCACTAGTTCTCTTCCTCAAGTCCTCCACATGCTTCCAGGTCCCGGAATGAGGTGTCTGATTCCTTCAATGGAGGGCTGATATCCATCATCAGCTGTTCCTTTTTGCTCACCTCTTCTGCAAGCAGACCTCTTCTTTACCTCACCGTCGGCTCGCTTTGCTGCACTGCTTGATCGTGCGTCTGACCTTATTTTCTGGTAAAGATTCCAGTCTCCAAATTCATTGTTTTCCATCGTCCAAAAAACAACTGTTCAGAAGGGTGCCTTTATTGTGTTGTGACATCTCATTGGTCCCGCCAACATCGTCAGACAACATGTACATATTAATTGTATCAGACACAATTGTACATAATAACAATGTTCGAGCATTCGTGGTCGCGGCGATTCAAAATTAAATTTCTGCATTTTTCTTGCTAAAAAAGAAAGATCGGTCGGCTTTGTGAAGACCAAACTTGTACATCGGCTGTACTATGACCACACCACTAATACGGATGACGATGCACCTCCAGATCGGTGCGCCGAAGCGGCATGCGACTTAATCTCATAGAAAACAACCCCGATGCGATTAGGTGAAAATACCCCAATACTGACAAAGTGCGCACACAAAATACCACAGTACTGGCAAAGTGCACACAAAAATACCACAATAGTGGCAAAGTGCACACACAAAAGTGAAATTGAAACTGCTGGGAGCTATCATGTACGCGAGGAGCCAGGAAAACATGCTTCTCTACCCAAATGTACTGGTAGAAGCCATGTCGGAAGCCCGCTGGTGTGGCAGTCACAATGAACGTCCCAACATGCAGTGACTCCCAAAATGTATCTAAAGAGCATTGTTGGAGCCTTCGTTCGTAGGGCATTGCGTACGTCTTCAAACTATGAACTAGTCAACTCTGAATTCAACCGTGTCAAACAAATGCTACAGGATAACTGGTACACTAACTGTGAAATCGACAGAGCAACGCATCAGTTGCTTGATAGTCACTTAACCACTATCAAAAACTTAAAAAACAGTACATCCACAACATCTACTACCGTAACTGTATCAATTCAGCCTACAAAATCAAACAGCAGGCATTGAAAAGTTAGTTGTCCAAAAAGATAACATAGGTAGACGGGAATAAGCTTAGACTGCAGGAATTTTAAAAAGAGCGCATAACTAGAGATCTTGTGAACAACGACACAGCTAAGACATAGATGTTGAAGTGCACCAATGTAACACGCAAATTGTCTTTCCTATACAAAGATTGCAGATGTTATTCCGTATGCATATTTTATTACGTATGTGTGTTTTACGATCCGGTTTTTAAGTGCGAGTTGCCGCCATGAGATGCGCAGCAAGTTGTTACTTTTGAGAATGAAACCCTGAAACCTTCAACCTCGAATTCAAAAGAAGAAGATGACGTCTGTCTCTGCGTGCGTGCGTGCGTGCGTGCGTGCGTGCGTGCGTGCGTGCGTTGTGTGTGTGTGTGTGTGTGTGTGTGTGTGTGTGTGTGTGTGTGTGTGTGTGTGTGTGTGTGTGTGTGTGTGGTTGTGTGTGTGGTGTGTGTGTTTGTGTGTGTGCTTGTGTGTGTGTGTACGGCCGAGATTGACCGAAGGCATGGCGATGTATTCAACTTGAAGTCTCCGCTCCGATGGACGCCAACATCTCGGGAACGCCCGCATCTCCCGGCTCCGCTCCATCCCCTCTCTCCCCGCGGCACGGGCCCCGTTCTTGATGGGGAAATGCTGCCAGATGCTCCGCCTTTTCAGGTAACAACCTATGACGTTCCACAACTACGTCATCTACGTCATGGAGAACGCTTCAAGCAACTCCTAAACATGGCGGCTAGTAAAGTCAGCTGTTTTCCAACAAACACATTTGACGCGCAGCAGAGATGATATTGACGAGTCAGGACAGTTAAATACAAATACTTCACGTGTATCTCTCGCAACAGCTGCCTATACCATGACGACTAGCCTAAACGAGAATATTAGAGCCAGAGAAGGGCAGATCATCGCCCTCGACTTGAAAGACGTTACGCTATTTCAAGCGTAGTGCTAGCGTAACCACATGCAATCGATCATCCCGCGGACACGAAGTTCAGCAGGCACTGATAACTTAACGCCTTATGCCAGCTAAGATCATCGTGCATGTTTATTGATGTCGTCCATATATTTTTTACGCATGGACGAGTTTTGGCGCGTGTGGCTGCAAGCAGGTATACAGCTTTGCTCGGAGGACGTGTGCAGGGAGAAATATCATATGACAAGTCGCATGAAGAAGAGTTCTACATTTAGACACAGGGACGAACAACATCCATGGAAACATGTGACGTCAGGTTACGCAGTATATTCAAACTCCAAAGCATTCAAGGTGTAGATAAACTTTCCCACAATCATACTGTCCAGAAAACTATTCATGTTACAGGATCCAGAAAGTGACTAACATATTGATGCACTCGCCGACGCAGCGGTTCTGGCCCTGCCAAAGCGCCGACAACGCGCAAACAAAACAGAAAATCATGTACATTACGTGGTTCCAGGACATCACGACGAAAATTTCAAATCGCAGTTTCGTATCTCGCGCAAGTTTTTTTCTCTCAAAATATCTAGGCAAGGCTGTCTCCGTATTATGACAATCA